GAGGGGATACTCTCATTTGGAGGCCCGGAATCTTTGCTTGATGTAGCGATTGCTAGGGTAAATCTTCTCAGCACATCATTCAACAGTCTGACGGCACAATTGGCGACGTCGACGGAATATACATCCCCCGCAGAGGCCTTCAAGTACCCGAACTTGGTGTAAGTGAAGTGCTCTTCCCCTAAGACAACGAAGGTGAGCGGATTCTTAATCAGTAGGACTTGGGGGAGATCTCATCCGCTGCCGCAGGCGATTCCATACCGTCGAAAATCCCTCAATGCCCAGCCAGTTTCTTCCTCTGCTGATATTTAATTCTTATTAAATAATAATATGATAAATTATAGTAATTAAGTTAGTGGAAAGATGAGGTGGAAAAAATAATTTTTTTAATTTTTCTGAAATTTTCATGTCACTAGTTAACAGTCAAACTTCATAGTTGACTGCCACATAAGGCAAATTTAACGGAATGTAACGGTCGGTGACTAACGGTGAAACGATTCGTAAAGTTAGTAGCGAATAAGAAAAAAAATTAATTAGGGCGGCAAATGTGAAAGATTTTTGTAATTTGAGTGACCAAACGTGTAATTTAGCCCTTTCGTAAGCATCCAAATATTAGCCATTTCTACGTTATCGTTAATAATTTTGTAACTCTTTTCTTAGTTAAAATACTTAAATTTTACAATGTTGACCTTCATGTGTCTCTTCCAAGTCAGTATCATATTGCCAAATCAGTATTACTAACAAAATTGCTAACTGAAAGTTAATATTTGGCTAATTCTTAGTATTTCGATAGGTTTGGATAATATAAAAGAATCTGAAAAAGGTTTGGATAAAAAATAGACAATACCCTTTAGATTTTATTGAAGTTTTTAGTTTTTTTTAAGGAAAATTGAAATGAATGGATCGTTTATCCACCACATGCACTCAATTATTTCCTAAGTCGACGCTGGAGATCTCCTATAGAGTACCAAATTGACAAATTCTATAACATCAACCATCTGACTAACCTCCTATCCTTTTATTTAGCCCCAGGTTCGGGATTTGATGATCTATTTCACAGTCCCCATTTAAGAACTCGTGGTGTATCCTTTTCGTCTTTGCTCTCTATATATCTGACGATACTACATGTATTCCTTTCTCCCACGAAGAAGCGGGTCATCATCTTCGAGCCAAAGCTGCTGATTTGGCTATAACTTGTTTCATTTTGCTTTGTTTATAGAGAGAAATCTCTCAAATAAGTCATATATGAAATAAAATTTGTGAACTTTGATTTTCGATGCTATGATTTTTAGTTTGAGCTACAATTTCTGGGGTTTGGAAGTTTGTAGTTTTGGTAAAATAATTGTTAAGAAAAATATCATTCCTACTTTCTCTCTCGTTGTCGGAAATTTGAAATGAGACAAAAATTTTCTCATTTCAATATCATATATTGCGTAGAGTGTATATAAATACATATTCTTTCCCGACAAATTCATTAGCACATTAAAAAAAACTTATTAAACTCCTAATGATTGTTGGATATTATCATGTCAGAATAGGAAGAGATTTAAAATTTGATGATTAACCAAACAAAAATGCTCAAAGAACCAATCTCATATAGTTTACACAAAGATATGAATATGATAGTGTCATAGTAAGTCTAAAAATTAATATTAATTTAAGAATATACATAACTTTTACATATTGAATACTGCAATTCGATATGGAATATTCGAACCAATGATATTTGAGCCGCAATTTTAAAGTTATCATCTATTGTAAGATATATAGGAATTTAATTAAGTATTAAAAGATAATTAAAACGAGGAATTTGGCATTTGTTAGTCACACAAAGTTTCAACTTAAATGCACATTTCTCTAATATTTTTTGCTTCTTATTTGTATGAGATGAGGTCGACTGGCCCTATGACTGTGCAACTGGAGAAAAATGAAATTTACTATTGCGGGATTATGATGGCTTTTGAGATGGTTGAGTCTTGTATTGTAAGCTCTCGAATCTAAAGCAAGAAGAACTGAAGAAGAGACGATGGGATAGTTGATGACTCGATATTTGCACATGTTTTCCCCTTTGTTTCTTGATCGTTTGAGCTTTAATTATCGCTTTAATTATCGCTTATTTGGCCTATTTTATGCTAGGTTGTGTTCCTTTGTCACATTTTAGGTCCTAGCACATAAAGTGAAGCATAGGCGCAAGTTTCAAGTCAATCAGAGATCAATTGGCGATTCGGGAGAAGAAACTCGGGCATGACCTGAAGAAAAATGGATTTCTACCTCACTTTATGGACAAAGAATCATGCAAGCTTGTCATTAAAAGAAAGAGGACGAGACTACAAGCGTCTGGGATCAAACGACGACTGATTCAGAGTCCGGACGAGGGAGAAACGAAGCATTGAATATAGGGGAACAGGTTCGGCAGTAAAAACACGGGCGCGCCTAAATCAAAACACGGCCGTGCCCATATTTAGGCACGACCGTGTTTTGGCCGACGCGCGCGGGAGTGTTTTTAACACGGGGCAAAATCAAAACACGGCCGTGCCCTCGACCGTGTTTTTCCCAGAATTGGGTTTTTAAACCCAAATTCGAGCCAAAGGAGAGGGAGAGCTGGGTTTTTGGATCCCAAACACCCAAGGGACGAACCAAAGAGAGAGAGGGCGATTTGACAGCATTCTTGGAGTGGAATTGGAGGATTTCTTCGCCTTGGAAGCTCGAGGAACAAGCCCGGACTTGAAGACTGATCATCTGAAGATTCTTACTACAGTCTCTCTCTTCTCTATGGAGTAACTTCCCTTCACTTAGATTTTGAGGAACCCTAGCTATGTTTGTTTGATTGGGTGATTGTATGAGTACTCTTACTTGATAATCTTGAGTTCATATTCAATCTATGCATGTTTTCATGATTCAATTCTGCTTTAGTCGAGATTATTGATTCTGCTTTGATCCTATGAGAGCGAATACCTGATTAGGTCAACAGAGCACCATAGATTGATAGTATTGGATCAATTGCTTTAGTCGAGGGTTGATTCAATGCTTTGTATCGATTGAGAACCTCATTCGATAGAGGGAATCTAGTTCAGAACGCCTTGATCGGTTGTTCTAGAGAAGGATACGTCCCTCTAGGCAATTGACTCAAGAGGGCCTTGTTCCTTTAGTCGAGACTCAAGGTCTAGTCAAGGATTCTCCGCATTGTGAATGAAAGTGAAACAGGTTAGAGATCATCAATCATTAATCTGGATAGTGGCTAGGGGGAATCATACCTAAGTGAGTTCCCAACCTGTAATTAGATTAACTTTAACTGTAGTTTGCTAGAGTAGTTTTAGTTCTTTCATCTTAATCTGGTTTGCTAGATAATGAACTGAATCTGAGTAATAGTAACTCTAGAGACCCGTGGATTCGATATTTATTACTTGAGCCACTATACTGCAGTCCCTTTCATTGGTTACACTTGGCCATTGTTAGGAGTTCCGTGGATTCGATATTTATTACTTGAGCCACTATACTGCAGTCCCTTTCATTGGTTACACTTGGCCATTGTTAGGAGTTGTGTCATAGAGAGTCAATAGTCGAACATGGTATGTGATGTTTCATGTTGTTGGGCTCTGTGATAAGTAAAAGGATGATATGACAATGTTGCTACGTATACGAATTGTTGAAAACAACATAATTTTGAAGTGGCCCGGTGCTCGAATCGGTTCGTTAAATCGATCGGATTTCACGTTGAGATAGACCAACTTGACTTTGACCGAGCCCGAGTAGACAACGAACTAGGCCTCCGGCACTCGCCGAGATACTCAGGTTTAGGTAGAATTGGTTCGACCAACAGAGTCATACTTGAATTGACAATCATGGTTATGACACTTATCTATGTTTGAAGATACATTAGTTCAAATCTCAACGCTTGTCTATTTTTTATACAAAATAAAGATAAATAATGGCGAAGACAAAATTGTCATTCATACTTTTGCTCTCGTTGTAGTAAATTTGAAATGGGATGACAATTTTATCATGCCAGTAGTATATATTGTGCAGAGTGTATATGTAGACATGTCCTTGCTCTACAAATTCATTTTACTACATAAAAAATATGAAATAAACCAACCTAACATCGCTTCTACATATTTTATATGTAATATTGAAACAATGATATTTGATCTATGATTTTAAACTTATCCTCTATTTATAAGATAAATAAAAAATTAAATTAAGTATCAAAGTATAAATTAAAATAATTAAATATGAAAATCGATGTATCAAAACACGAATAGTCCAATAGCGAGTGAAGATTTAGTGACCTTAGCTAACCGTTGAAAAGTTATGTGATTTTTTTAATTTTAGCTTCATATATGTTTTTTATTTAAATTTTTACAACAAATCTATTTAGTTTGATTGGTTAAGATTCTTGCCTCCTATATATATTTGTAGATAGATAGATTGTAGATTTTAGTATTATTTTAACATAAATGTCAATACTATCAATTAAATCACAATTGTACCACTAATATCATTCTTAACCGATGCAATCTACCATAGGGTCTCACAATGAGAATTGTTATTCGTCGTCCTATTTTTTACTAATCATCGTCCTAAATTGATGTAAAAGTCCTATATGCCCTTAATGAATCTCATATTCATGTTATGAAAATATGATATTTATATTGGGAATATAATATTTATGTTATGAGAATATAATATTTATTAAAAATATTTAGGATTTTTTACATCAATTTAGGGTGATAATTGGTAAAACCTCCAACTCCATTTAAAACAGAAAATATAACGGAACAAAACGGAGACGGAGCAAGAACGGGAGAGAAGAACAGTAGACGGAAAAATCCAAAGAAAGCGACACAGACGTGGCAGCATTTGAATCAAGCAACCAAAGACGAGCCGCGACGAACTCCGAGTCCAATTTTTTCACCACAAGGAAGAAAAGGACAGAAAAGGTCTCATCCAATCATCCTCCGTTTCCGGGATCAATCAGTCTGTCAGTCGCCGGATCCCCGACCATGCCGCCAGCGAGATCGACACCGGCGGCGGCGGCGTGCGAGAAGCTCCAGAATGCGCTCCGGGAGTGCTACCGCCGCATACCGGCGGGTCTAGGACGTGACGCCGCTTGCCGCCACCTCAATCTAGGGCTAGCCAAGTGCCTCGTGTCGGCGGCGTGTCCGGAGGAGGCGGAGGCCGTTCGCAGCTTGTGCACGAGCGGCGGGACGGCACTAAAGAGATCGCAATGCCAGCAGGCCGAGCTCTCCCTCGCCGTCTGTCTGGGTTCCCATCAGTAATAGACAGCTCCTCGACATAGAGAAATTCAAAACCCTCGATGCCCATGATCTACCTCGGAGACCCTCTAAAGCCAAAGCCCAAAATGTGCATCAATCCATGTCAGAATCTGGAATCCCCAGAGCTTCTGATGAACTTCTTCAGTTCAGACTTCAGACCACTGCAAATCTTTGTTACGTGATTTTCACTACCAAGTTTTTATATGTATAAGATTATAAAGATGATGCCTTTCATTTTTCATCCTTTACTTGGAAGAGATCAGAGAGTTACTGACACACACACCTTGTATGATTGTTTGAGACTGCTAGAAGCTGTGTTGATTATGAATAAAGGGTACAGATGTGTTTGCATCAAGCTAAACAAACAATGCAATTAGATGCAGTTGCTTTCCTGTGCAGGGCAATTGTACTTCCTGCGAAGAAGCTAGAACTTTTTTCCTCTGTGATGCGGGGAGGAGTAATCGATATCTGGGCCAACAGGGATGATCCGAGAAGGGTTCATGGAAGGATTGCTTTCTGTAATAGAAGCGCTTGATGTGAGACATGTTCACAGTAGAGCTCATCCTAGGGATTTGGTAGATGTCCTTTGTGTAGTTGAAGAGGTTTGTGTACTCCCTCAGCAGCTTCTTGTTGCACTTGAAGTGGACTGACTGCATATACCTGCAACCGTCCATCGTAACACAAGAAGATCAGATCGGTGAGCGTGCTTTTTTATGATTACTAAACGTATCTGGAGGAGACCGGTAAGAGTAGAGCAAGAAGGAAAATTGGTTATTGATGATGATACCTCATCGAATCTGATCAGTGTGACAAACAGCCGGATATCTGCTTGCTTTTTTATGATTACTAAATGTATCGCTGCTTGCTCAGGATCTCCTCACATTTGTACAAACATTCATACAACTCTTTCACAGCCTACATACACAAATGCAGCAAGCAAGGGCGAATCACACAAAAGATAACCAAATTACTCGGTGTTCTTGTTGTATCAATAGATTTTAGGTTTACCTCCTGATAAGGGCCTTGCTGCCTGGCGAACCCACATTTGTAGACGCCGCTGTTTATCCCGCTATCTATCCACTCATTGGCCTCATCGATTTGAGCTCGTAGCCGTAGGTGGGGAGGGTAAAGATCCAATGCTGTGCTGTGCGGTCACCATCAATGTCATCGAATTCGCATGATTTCTGCACTCTCATTGTTAACTTAACTATTATTGTCTTGAGCTTTTCATCCCAAAGAACCTACATTGTCAATTTGTCATATAAGAAGGAAGCTTTTAATTTGCGTCCAGAATCAATTTACCAGAAGGACAAAATGATCATGATAATGGGAGGAGATGTTTAACGTACAGGAACAGTGTACTTGCGGGTGTAGTTTGTGCTTGCAAGCTCGTACAAGTCCCTAATGCTTTCTGCTCCATTCAAAGGGTCAGGTCCAGCTCTCTGTGTCGAATTTAGGGAAAACCCATCCCATATGCTCATCATCATCACGGTTCTTAGTTCAGTCCCATATCGATTTCACAGATTGTAGCAAAATGGTTTAGGCCTCTGAAATTCGTCCATTCCAGATGTGTTGGGAATTATGATTTATGATATATACTTGATTGAGCATAAGTTGTATTTTTCGATAGTCAAAATTCAGAAGTTAACCTGTATAGTTCTTCCTTGGAACTGTGTTCGTTACTGAGATTATGGATTCAAATTTGCAGGCCGATCTAAGGGACAAATCTGCTCTGGAGAAGATTTTCACGGGTTCAAAGTATGATGAGTTTAATACATTGATGTTCCTGATGATATATGTTTCCATACTGATTAGGTGAATTATTAGGGTCTCTAAATATGTTCCTATCTGCACTTTCCAGATTTGATGCTGTCATCACTTTGCCGGACTGAAAGCAGTTGCCGGACTGAAAGCCACTGTTTACGGTTGGCCAAAGGAAGTTCACGTACGGAAGAATTTGCAATCAGTGCTGTGAACCCATATGGGCGTACCAAGGTATCTACTAATGTTGTTTTGGGACTCTGCTGAGTGACTGTGTACCAAAGTTGTCAACCCGCGGGTTGACCCGGACCCGGTCGAGCTAGTGGGTCAACTCCGTTAACTTTTGCTTATGTGGCGGTCAACTCTAAAAATTGACTGTTAAATGTGTGACGTGGCAATTTAAAATTAATAAAATTAAATTTTTTAAAATGGCCACCTCATTTCCACCTAATTATCACTTTTATTTAAAATTAATAAAATTAAATTGGGCAAGAACCTGGAGAAGGAGCCAAAATCCCGGCCTCTATCCTCTGCCGCATCGCCGCCGTGAGGTTCCTCGCCGACCCGGAAACCGACGAGGTCTACACCAAGATGAGCCTCGTCCCTCTCCCGCCAGACGAGGAGCTCGATTTCGACGACGAATTCGGCAGCGGAGTCCAAGAGAAGCCGGCTTCCTTCGCCAAGACCCTCACCCAATCCGACGCCAACAACGGCGGCAGATTCTCGGTGTCGCGTTACTGCGCCGAGACGATTTTCCCCAGGCTGGATTACACGACAGATCCTCCAGTCCAGACGGTGGTAGCTAAGGACGTCCACAGTGAGGTTTGGAAGTTCAAACACATCTACAGGGGAACTCCCAGGAGACATCTGCTGACTATTGGGTGGAGCACGTTTGTCAATCAGAAGAAATTGGTGGCCGGGGACTCAATCGTGTTTCTCAGGGCGGAGAACGGCGATCTCTTCGTCGGTATCCGCCGCGCCAAGCGAGGGATTGGCGGCGGCAGCGGGTCAGAATGGTCCTCGTCTTCTTTCCCCCAATCTGGTTGGGGCATTAACGCAAACACTTGCGGGGCAACTGGATGGCGAACCCGTACAACAATTTTTCGGTGTTTCTGAAGGAGGATGAGAGCAAGGCAGCGAGAAATGGAAGCTACGGTGGGAAGGGATCGACGGCAGCGGCGGCAACTGGATGGCGAACCCGTACATCTCTCTCTTTTCCGTTCACCGGCCACTGTTCTCACCAGGAGGTTTGACTCCATGAAGATGCCAGTAAGTACGTTTGTCCCCAGATTTGTATAATTGTATCTAGCTATCTCGATTGAGTTATCTTCTTCTTCAGACTAAACTCACTGTCATGTTCTTCGGTTTCTGTTGTTTAACAGTGTTTTTTCTTTTCTCTTTTCTTACCTCCCCTGATCCCCACCCATTGGATTCCATGGCCTAACGACCTACTTTTCTTCCCCTTTTGATTGTTATTTCCCCTTTTCGCTGATTTCAATTACTCTGTTTTTTTTCCTTCCTCCCTTTCCTTTTGCGTCTTTGATTTTGCCCCTCTTGCTATTTTGCTCGATTGCGGAGACAGGGTATCTCCCAACTTACATTTTCTCCCCATTCTCTCCATTTTGACCAATTACCCAGTTGTCAAAATCCCAAAATTGAAAATGGGTTTCGTTCATTCTGCTTGTATCTCATCAATGGTGGGGTGGGTTCGATTCAGTATTTCCAAGAATCCCCTATTTTCAAAAGTCTGAAATTTCGATTCTGTCTGCTCTTTTTTCAGGTAGCATTGCTCCTGCTGCTGGCACTGAGCTGGGGAATCCAAACGACTGCGGCGGCCGGAGAAGGAGGAGGGAGGAGCTTCGATGGGCAGTGCGATCACAAGTCGAGCTTGGACCCGAGGCCGCACAGTGTTTCGATCTTGGAGTTCGGCGCTGTCGCCGATGGGAAAACGATGAACACAGTCGCCTTCCAGAACGCCATTTAAAAAAATTTAATTTTACTAATTTTATTAATTTTAAATTGCCACGTCACACATTTAACGGTCAATTTTTAGAGTTGACCGCCACATAAGCAAAAGTTAACGGAGTTGGACGGAGAGTGACCAAACGTGAACGCTTTCAGTAAAGTGAAGTACCACCAATGAATTTAAATATTTTGAGTGACCAAACTTGAACGTTTTTTGTAATCTCAGTGACCAACCATGCAATTAACCCAATCGAAAAATATGCACATTTCAGAAAAAAATGACACAATTTGACCTACAACCCGATACCTTGTAGCGATCGACCCAACGGGTGCTTGCGACTCCGTTTTTCTTATCGGCTCATGGTCAAAGTGGGTCAACCATGAGGTCGACCGTCAGGTTGACAATCTTGCTGTGTACTGAAGCATATTGGTTAGTGTGTTCCACTCTGGCGCTTGTGACTTTTTTCTTCTGTAGGACTCCAAACGCACGAGTCGTAGGGGTCGTTTGGATTGAGTATTTGGGGGTGTTATTTGGAGTCAAATAACATAAAATCTGTTATTTGATCCCAAATAACATGTTTGGCTGACAAAAAGTGGGATGTGTTATTTGGATGTAGTGTTTTGTCAAATAACAGGTTTGAGACCAAATAACACAAAAAGTGTTGTTTGCCAAATACTTGGGAGGGGGCAAGTATTTGCCAAATAACAAGTTTGAGACCAAATATCACATACCAAATAACAGGTTTTATATTATGTGGTATTTGTGTGGTAATTGGCCCCCAAACAACAAGTTTGTCAAATACTCAATCCAAACGAGCCCGTAGTAAATTATCAGATTGTTCAATGACAATCTGTTGCTAGACCAACTCAAGGATTCAAACGACTGATTATATTACTTTCCCTTTGAATCTCACTGCTCGTGCCATTCTTTTAGAATATGAAAGCTAGGTACGCTTTTTGGCCAAAACTTCATGTTACTGTTTCATTATTTGTCCGTTAGTGAAAGGGCTTTCCCTCTTTCGTCGTCCTCAATCCCTCACTAGATGGAGAACTCAAAAACTGTATAACAGAAAAAGAAAAATAGGTTAGGAAGTGCTATCCCTGCCGCCCCCCGCCCCTGCCATATTCTTCTCAATACTCTTCCCTCTCAAAGTCCAATCACATCACTCTGCAATTTTCTTCCAATCCACAACCATCTCTCCAACTTTACATCCAATCTAATTGCGTGAAAAAAGAGCTTTGACCCCTTCCCTCCATTGTAGACTTGCAGTACTTTCACCTTCTCTCTGTTTCCACCAACCACCTCTCCCATGCTCTATCCTCTCCTGTTATACAATCACTGATTTTCTTCCACAAAATCATCCCTCCATCTACCTATACCATCTGTCTTTTCTCCATCTACTTGATTTCCAATTATCTAACCTACTACTATCTTCTAACTCTCATTCGTATCCCAATCTTTTATGTTCTTCCTCACTCCTTCGACTCCAGCCGCCCGGGAAAACTCATAGGCAGCTATGGTGAGAATCCTTAATCTCAGTCTTTTGTTAGTAGTTCGCCAACTCTACGCAACGACCCAGTCGGCAAGGGAGGCGATCTTGCAGTTGTTGAGGGTTAAGAGGAGTCAAAGAGTTTGAAAAGGCTACATGAAGTAACCTTGGTGTTCAGTAAGTTTTGTGATTTTAATCTCTAATAAGTTGTTTCTTTTTCATGTGTGTTCGTGAAAATAGACTTCAGAAATTTAACTTGGAATCATATGAGGTCATGGTGCCTGGAATTAATAGTTTGTATAACTGTCTTAAGATTTATTTTCATCAAAGAGGGATGGATTTAAGTTACCATATGCTTCTATGTGTTCTTAATCTATGGTATAGAATTCTCTTACCCTTGGTATGATACCAGTTCTATGGTGGAATTCTTGAATGTTGATTTTGAGGGTCAGCAATTCTAAGACTGCATTTTACAGGTTTGGTGCAAGCAAAGAAGAAACAACAACGAGGGTCAATATGGCTAGGCCAAAGCATAAGTTGGCATTTCTATATGTTGTGGTGATTTCAATCAGTTGCTATTAAGTTTTTTTTTTTTTTTTGGCTTTTGTCCGCTCAAAAGATCAACGATCATGTTGAGTTTGATTATTTACTTCCCAAGTTGTTATGATTAGATCTCTAAATTTGTTGTTCTCTCTTTGCCATTTGGGCAGTTGATCAGTTTTCCCTATCAACATTGTACTTGCGAACCCTCAAGGTTCCTGTTTAATTTACAGTCTTACCTTTTTGTGTAGGCATGCTCATATAAGCATTATTAACATTCTGTACTGTGATTTGATATTTTAGTTCAACTGACTTTAGATTGGTTTATTCTTTGACAGAAGCCAAGGTGGAGAAATCGGATGATGAGTAGCAAAGAATTCCAAGGATGAATCCTACATTTAGTGTTCAGACACCAAGAGCGTTGCTGACAGATGTCTCTACAAAACATGTTAATGTTTGTTACTTTGCTCTAAACGCAAAGAGAAATTTATTGGTACATATGTTGTTAGTTGTACGTCTTTACATAGTGCTTTGTTTGTTGTCTTCGTGCATGTTGCTTTCGCTGACTCATGGTATAGGATCTTGCTAAGGAAAATGATGTTATGTAAATATAAGTAGTCAATGGTATTTGGCGAGGAGATGTGGGTTTATTTGTCTATAAGCAATTATGTAGGGGTTCCTTGGTTATTTTGGGCTGTTAGTTCTTTGTTTTGACCATCTTTTGTTTATCCAAACTGAAAAAGGAAGTCCTTGGCTGGGACACAACTCACACAAGGAATGATGATTGTCAGTCAGAGACCTGGTTTTGATATCTTCACCCTATGTACTGTTGCTAGAGGTGGCAATTTCAATCCAATCCACCAATCCATTAAAAATATCCACCTAATCCAATCCATTTAAATCCAATCCATTTGATCCAAATCCAATTGGATTGGTGGATTCATGGATTGGATCCATGGATCATTGGCAAATTACGGTTTAGTACCTATAATTTTTATTTTTTACATTTTGGTACCTAAAATTTAATTTTTATACGAAAAATATCATTGGAAAATTACGTTTTGGTACCTAAAATTTTTCATTGTGACATTTTAGTACCTAAACTTTTTACATTTTACATATTGGTCCTTGGTTGAGGATGTCATTTGGATTCATGGATAATCCACTTGATCCAATCCATGAATCCACCAATCCATTAGATCCATGGATCCACCAATCCAATCCACCAATCCAATCCATTTGCCACCTCTAACTGTTGCGGTTTGAGGGTGTCTATTATTTGTTGGATGGACCAAAATGAGTTGCCTGCACAATTATGGTTCACTATGTTGTTGGCCGTTGATACCACTGGGTTGCTTAGTATATACAAGTTACATGTCTATTGCATGATATTTGTATTCCTTGGGTGTTTTCTTAGCACATGATCAATATAATAGATAACTAATTAACCTTACAAATCATGTTTTTATCTATTTTGACCATTTATGCTTGAGAAGTTTCTGGATTCTCTATGTAACTTATAAGCTAATGATCATTGGACTAAGTGCAGTGGACATTTTAAGATAATTTCTTTTGACAAAATTCAATGTGTTATCATCTTAGATTTTGTATGGAATCGTTAAGGTTGCGAGTTAAATTATATTGCTTAATAAAGCATATGAACTGAATGTATAATTTTTAAAAGCTACTAAACATGTGAACACAAAGATATGTCGTTGCCTAAACATTTCCATAGCTGTAGCCATTAATATCGATATATTTCCCGCGACGTAGCCGTGGATATTGATTCTAGTACAAGAAACAACAGACTCCAAAACGGAAATAACAACACAAATACATGGGAGAACACCTTATTCCTTGCCGACTACAAAGCAAACCACACAACACCAACAAGTTACATCCTGGTAGAAGCTCATTAGAACCTTTCTCTATCATGTGGGGAAGAGTAATCAATATCTGGACCAACAGGGATGATTCCGAAGGGATTGATGGAAGGGTGGCTGCCGTAGTAGTGGCGCTTGATGTGAGCCATGTTCACAGTAGAGCTCATCCCGGGGATTTGGTAGATGTCCTTTGTGTAATTGAACAGGTTTGGGTACTCCCTCAGTAGCTTCTTGTTGCATTTGAAGTGAACTGCGTATACCTGCAAACATGTCAAGAAGAAGAAGAAGATTGAGTTCGAACATCATCAAGAGATCACAAAGCACAAAAATGCAACTTTGAAAGAAATGATTGATTACCTCATCGAATCTGATCAGTGTGACGAACAGCCGGATATCTGCTTCAGTTACTGCATCTCTACATATGTATCGTTGCTTACTCAGGATGCCCTCACATTTGTCCAGACATTCATACAACTCTTTTATAGCCTGTGCACCAAATCAACATAAGGAACAATCCCGAAAGACACTACCAGGTCCATCTAGAAAGAGCAGAAATCTCAAGGTAAACGGACTGAATAGGAGAGAGTTATCAAGATAGTTTCTCTTTACCTCTTCGTAAGGGGTCTGCTTCCTGGCAAACCCACATCTGTACACACCATTGTTTATCCCGCTATATATCCACTCGTTGGCCGCGTCAATATGAGCTTGCGAGTGTGGAGGGTAGAGGTCTAATGCCGGATTCTCAGCTATGCTGTTGAATTCTGTATTGAACATGCGAATTATCTCTGCACTCTCGTTGTTAACTATGGTCTTGAGCTTTTTGTCCCACAGTACCTAATATCACCAAAAGATGATGATTTTTTTAAGTCCAGAAACGGAAACGGAAACAGAAACAAGCATACATCATGAAAGGACGAACCCAAGAATTGATTGAGATGTTTTAGCTTAACATACAGGAACAGTGTACTTTCCGGTGTAGTTAGTGCTGGCGAGCTCGTACAAGTCCCTAATGCTCTGTGCTCCATTCAAAAGGTCAGGGTCAGCTCCTGGTTCCTCTGTGTCGGATTTGGGGAAAACCCATCCCATATGATCATCACTGTCCTTGGTTCTGCCCCATATGGGTTTCACAGACTGCAGCAAAATGATCACCATAAAGTCGGACCCAAAACCCAATCATCCTTTCCCACAATGAATTCGATGCAAAGACAAAAACTTACGGTGAAGGAAACGTGCTTGTCGAGGCCTTTGATCTTCAAGTAAGCCAGGCATCTGGAAGCCCAGGGGCAAGCATACGAGATATAGAGATGGTACCTCCCAGATTCCGGTGGGAACTGGGAGCTTGATTCCCGTGATATCAAGTTCCGGAAAGTGGAAGCAGTTCTCATAAAGGCACCGGAATGGGACAGCTCGTCGATCGCAGATCGTGCCATTTTGCTGAAAGAGACGATCACGCTAAGCCTTCAAACACGATCTACAAGCAATCTAATAGACAGAATCAGTCAAAATTATCACATAACAATCCCAAGAAATTGTGGGTCCTGGATAATGGATTTCAGCTCGCGGGAACTAAAAGGAAACCAAGTTCAACAACTTCAACCAATTGACGAACAAGGGACGAGAAAGGAAGGAAGTAAACCACCGGATTCAGGCAACAAAATGGAGGACGGCGACTGGACTTACATGGACGACTGAGATCGGCAAGGGCTTCAGAGAAATACCCAACTCCGGGAGACTGCTGGAGAGCTACGAGGGTATTTAATATTTATATTAGGATAAAGCGGTGGAGCCGCCAGTCGTCATCATTGGTCATTGCCACACTCAGCTGCAGCTCCACTGCAACAATCGCTTTAGCCTTCTTCTTCTTTCAAAATTTATTTTTATATTAACCCAATCCCTCTGTTAGTGGTCCAATAAACAAAACCCAAGAATTTTTTAGTCCCGCTGGCTCCAATGGCGGCTTCGATTGTCCTTTCTTCCTCTCCATGTAATCTTCCGGAGCTACTTTGACCATTTTTTTTCTCGTTGAATAACTTTGACCAAATTTTGCCTCTGCATAGCTTGGGCTTTCAGTTATTAAGATTTTCCGATACTTTCCGGGCTTCCATAAAGATAGGCCCAATAACTCCATTGTGACCCATGATCCACAAAAGTTAGAAAAGCAAAAGAAAGAACAGATGCCTAGAAGCCCAGAATAAAAGAAGCTTATTAGTTAGTCATCATTATTTTCAGTTGTCATTGCGCGATTCGGAATTGATTTGGAAGAACAGAGAGAAGTCAGGAGTCAGAGCTGCGCCTCTGCAGTTTGCAGGGCGGCCATGGAAGTCAATGTAATTGGAAGCTACTTCCGGTACGTCCCACAGGCAACACCAAAGAGAGAGAAGGGGAAGGAAGGAAGGAATGGCTGGGACCATCTGCCCTAGGATCTTAAAAAGTCTGAAAATGAAGAATCTGCACAGACAACCTTTTCTTTGCTCTTTCTTCCAGTCTTCCCTTGCTTGCCGTCACGAGAAAAAGAAGATGGCCGGAAGAGCTTCATTTTCTTGGAGTACCTTTATGCCGCTTGAGATTTTCTACAGGATCATCCACCCGGAATACATCCAGAACAGAAACCTGGTTAGTGGAAAGAAGGACAAATCTAACAGAGTAACTCTGTTTTAATCCCCTGCATTCGGGTTTCCACTGATCGTTGTTCTCTTTCTTCTTATTTCCCTTTCCATGAATCGTGACAGAGGCTACCCAGTCAATTTTCCCCGGAGTTCGGTACGGAGCTCTCCAGGACCGCCACAGTTGTCTCCCCCGCCAGCGGTGGTGACTGGGAAATCCGGGTGAAGAAGGTTTCAGAGGAAGATATATTCCTGGAAAAGGACTGGGGTGAATTCATGGAAGCACATGCAATTGGAGTTTGGTACTTGGTTGTTTTCGAGTATTTGGGGGATTCCATGTTCAGGGTCGTTCAGATCTTCGACAGGACCACTCGTGCCTGCCTTCACGGCTCTGGAGATGAACACTCCACAGACAACAACAACAACCAGCAACAACAAGAAGCAGAGGCAGAGAAGGAAGAAGAACAAACCCACCTCATAAATGGTACAAATCTGCTGATTTCATAACACTGATTGATTTTATCGCAGTGAAGTAAAAAGAAAAAAAATTTGGTGGGTTTTCCTCTTTGTTGTTGTTTGTTTCTTTGGCAGAACCAGAGGGAGACGAGATGGAGGCAGTGATTAGCACTCTGGCAACCAAAGGAGCCCATGTCATCGAAACCATTTCGAGCAAGACTTCAACAGCATCAGGCATCCTAACTTCCGAGAGTAACAGGTTGTTGGAGATGAATGCAAACAAGCTTCAAAATCCTTGTTTCCTGGTTGCTATTCACCAATTTGACAGAGTTGTCACATCAGGATCGGTAAATCAGAGTGTACTCACGAACTGCAGAACCCCTCAGCTCCTTTCTCCCCTCCAATTAAATTTTGTGTCTGCATTTTTTTTTGTGTGTGCCTACCACATTCGTGAGGAAGTACATGTCGGGATTGACCAGGAGGGAGAGGACGAACTGTTGGGAGAACTGTGGGATGGCGGGAGAGGAAAGTGGAAGGTTCAGATTTACGCCAATTCGTCAGGGTGTGTCCATCTGAGAAAGGGATGGTGTGAGTTGTACAGAGACAACTCGTTGAAGGAAGGCGATATTTGTCTGTTTGAGTTAACTGGTGCCAAGCCTGTGGTGCTCAAAGCTTCAATCTTCCGCGTCTCTCCACAGTGAAAAAAAAGGGATGGATGGAGGAGCCTCATTAGTATCATACTAGTCTACTTCCAGCTTCAAGACATGAGCCCCCTTTTGTGTAGGATCTTAGTTACATTATAGTTTTCTGCGCCTAATCCATGTATGATTATGCAGCAATGAACCACGGTCTAGTTTCATACTTTCAGTGTTCTATTTCTGCTGTTTTTGCTTGTGTTCATCCTGGCTGTTTGAGACTCGGACTGAATGAATTACTTAATGAGCCTTTTGCTCATTGGCCCATAGTCAGTTGAGATGAAGTGGTCTCAAGTACCTCGTTTCACTTTGGGATAGTTGATGGAAGCCTTTCTACCACTCCTTAGTCCTTACTCTCGTGGACATGCAAAAAATCCTCGTCCGAGAGATTTTCAAGGGGCCCTCCAACGTTTAGCCAGTAACTAGTAAGCTGCGCGGTCATCTATTTTATGTAATATATGTTTACAATATAAGATGATATTTGAAATAATTTATAAATGTGTGAATAATATAATGAATTTTTTCATGTATTCGGGCCAAAACTACCGATCATTAACCTTCAACCCACTTGCTTGATCGGACCAACGGGCTAAACCGGATTGACAACCTTGGCAAGAAGGGAGAAGAATTGATGAGAAAGAATTTCAAAAAGAGAAGAAAAATACATAAAAAAATTTAAATTCTATTAAAATGTTAATCAATTGTAAACAATTTTTAATTATTAAAAAATTCATTTTGATGGGACACTAACAAATAGTTTTTTGCAATCCTTCTTTTTAATATATTAAAATAATTAATTTTTCATATGTCCACACTAAAAGGGTCGACCATTAATTCATATATGAAGCAAAGAGAAGAAAACAAGATAACTTCTGGTGAAAAAATAATTTGTGAATGAAATGTGCAATGTAATCCTAGAGCTCTAATTTTGCTCTGCTGTAGATTTTGTAAAAGCAGCTTATAGCTGAAACTTCTAGATAAGTACTTTAAAAAAAACAATTGAATGTTTGGCCGAAAACTATTAGAAGTGTTTTTTTTATATAAAATGCTATGTAAAATGACTATAAAGGACTTATGATATATAAATAATAATTTTAAACAATAAAAAGTAGTTAAAATGGATCTTGTTAGATTTCTTTTATATTAGATAATATAATATAATTTTTTTTAAATGATATAAATGGAAGAAAATCATATTTCTGAAATAAAATTAAAATATGGTAAGGATAATCTTGTATTTTCAAAACAGAGCATCTGTTTTTTTTTATAAACAGAGCGCAGAGGGGCGCTCTAACCCTTAATCATTAACTAAACGAGTCATCTGGACTCCAACCCTATCAAAATACAACCAATATCACTGAGTAGGGTTCGGTACATCAGTAATATGAATGCCAACCGACAGAGATAGGACTATAGAGGCCAAGTAATCAGCAACGAAGTTCTCACACGAAAGACGTGGATCATTTGAACTTCCCAATCCATTTGCAGCAATCTTCTCGCCTCTGGGACCAGGACGTGGTGCTGGTTGCGTGCTGTGGCGGACTGGATGAGGTTTAGTGTTGTGATAGAACACTACCAACTTGTGTACCCCCGATTACCAGTCGTAGCGGCTGATAATCCGATTCAAGTCATATCAACAAATCTCCACCTTGACTTGAATCCTCTTCCTCTAAAATCTCTGATGTACTCTGCTCCTTCTCTCTCTCCTGCCATCAATGCCCCGTAGGGCGGAGTCACCCACTCAAGACATTCAGCAAGTCCAAACAGTGTTGGAACTTGCCATGTGGAACCGGCTTCGTGAACATATCAGCAGGATTATCCGCGGTGCCAACCTTCTTCACCTTAATCCTCTTCTCTGTCCTCAAGAAATGATACCTCACATCGATGTGCTTAGTCCTCTCATGGTGGACTTGATCCTTGGCCAAGCATATTGCACTCAAACTGTCGCAATACACCACTGCCTGATCATGATGTAGACCCAGATCACCAACCAGTCCCTTCAACCATATTCCCTCCTTAGCAGCTTCTGTCAACGCCATATACTCTGCCTCAGTAGTAGACAATGTCACCGCCGACTGCAAAGTTGCCTTCCAGCTCACTACAGAACTCCCAAGAGTGAATACATAACCAGTCATCGATCTCCTCGTGTCAACATCTCCAGCATAGTCCGAGTCAGAATACCCAGACACCAAGCACTCTGTATCACTTCCGAAGCTAATCCCCACATCAGGTGTACCCTTAAGGTACCGGAAGATCCTCTTCACAGCCTGCCAATGCTCCTTCCCAGGTTGTATCATAAACCTGCTGACAACACTAACAGCATGTGCAAGATCAGGTCTAGTGCATACCATAGCGTACATCAAGCTACCTACTGCACTAGCATATGGGACTCTCGACATGTACTCCTTCTCAGCCTCTGACTGCGGTGCATAAGCTGAGGATAGATGAACATTTGAAGCACTAGGAGTATTTAAGGGCTTTGCTGAAGACATGCCAAACCTCGACAGTATCTTCTGGATGTAGCTCTTCTGTGACAAGAAAAGCTTCTTCTTCGACCTGTCCCTGTAAATCTCCATACCCAAAATCTTCTGAGCAGCTCCCAAATCCTTCATCTCAAACTCAGCACTGAGAAGCCCCTTTAACTTCTGGATATCAGACTTTGACCTCGCAGCTATGAGCATATCATCCACATACAGAACTAGATATATCATCGAACCATCCTCTGCCTTGCTGTGATATACACAACAATCATATGGACTTCTGCTGTAGCCTAGCTCAAGCATGTAACTGTCAAATCTCTTGTACCACTGCCTCGGAGATTGCTTAAGTCCATACAAGGACTTCTTCAGCTTACAAACATAGTCTTCTTTTCCTGGAACCTCGAATCCTTCTGGCTGAGTCATGTAAATTTCTTCCTCCAACTCTCCATGTAGGAAAGCTGTCTTCACGTCTAGCTGCTCGAGCTCCAAGTCATAATGTGCCACTATTGCTAGTAGCACTCTGATCGAAGTATGTCTGACAACTGGTGAGAAAATCTCATTGTAGTCAACTCCTTCCCTCTGCGAGAAGCCTCGTGCAACCACCCGAGCTTTAAATTTCATGCCCTCTTTAGAAGTGATTCCTTCTTTCTTCTTGTAGATCCACTTGTTTGTAACGATCTTCCTTCCCTGTGGTCGTTTGACTAGCTCCCAAGTCTGATTCCTGTCATGGGATTCCATCTCATCTCCCATTGCGGCAAGCCACTGATCGGCTTCACCACCCGAAACTGCTTCTCTATAGGACTGTGGCTCTCCTGCATCCACTTCTTCAGCAACCTGAAATGAATACGCCACCATGTCCTCGAAGCCATACCTCTGTGGAGGTACTCCTGCAGTCGCTCTCTTCGGTCTACCGGAAGCAATAGACTGTTGAGCTCGTGCTCTGGACTCTGAAATTTCTGGCTCTGCAGAGACATCCTCATCATGTTGATCTTCTCCACCTTGGTGCTCAAACTCACTCTCATTGAGAGTTTGCAGCTCCACCTGTTTATCAACATTCCTGCTACCTTCAACAACAGTAACCTTCAACATGGGGTTAAACATAGACTTCTCATCAAATATCACATTTCTACTAAGTATAACTCGATGCTCAGAAGGTGACCAGACTCGAAATCCCTTAACTCCATCTCCGTAACCCACAAATACACCCTTCTTTGCCCTTGGATTCAGTTTACCCTCATCCACATGATAATAAACAGGACACCCAAAAACTTTCAGTGAAGAGTAATCAGCAGGCTTACCATACCACACTTCATAAGGAGTCTTACACTCGATACCTGTGTGTGGTCCACGGTTGATCAGGAAGCACGCCATGTTTACTGCTTCTGCCCAGAATCTTCTCTCTAGTCCAGCATTAGAGAGCATGCACCGTGCTCTCTCCAACAATGTCTGGTTCATTCTTTCTGCAACGCCATTCTGCTGAGGTGTATCTCTAACAGTCCGATGACGGGCAATCCCTTCATCCTTGCAGAATTCGTTGAACTCAGAACTGCAGAACTCCAGACCATTGTCCGTTCGCAGCTTCTTGATCTTCTTCCCGGTCTGATTCTCCACCAATGTCTTCCACTGCTTGAACTTCGTGAAAGCCTCACTTTTCTGCTTCATCATGAAAATCCAAGTAAATCTCGAATAATCATCAATAATAGACAGAAAATACCTGCTGCCTCCAATGGATTCAACTCGTGAAGGATCCCAACAGTCGGAGTGGAGGTAATCCAGTATCCCCTTCGTCCGGTGGATACCCTTCTTGGGAAACTTGCTGCGATGTAGCTTCCCAAACACACAATGCTCACAGAATTCCAAATTCTGCACCTTGTGCCCGCAAAGAAGATCCCTCTTCGATAGAACTTGCATCCCCCGTTCACTCATATGCCCCAGTCTCATGTGCCAGAGAGTGGTCATATCTTCCTGTTGAACCTGAGACGATGCAACTGCAGCAGAACCAGACAACACAGACCCTTGTAATGCATACAAGGTCCCACGCTTCACGCCCTTCAGTACCTTCCTCGAACCCTTGCAGACATACACAACTCCACCTTTTCCTTTGAAGCTGAAGCCCTTGCTGTCGAGTAGACTCAAGGAGATCAGGTTCTTCGTCATTCGTGGAACATGCCTGACATCATTCACGGTACAGAACGAACCATCATGTGTCCGAACCTTTATGGACCCGATTCCAACAACCTTGCAGACAGCTCCATTAGCCATGACCACGTTACCACCATCTATCTGCTCGTAGGTTGTGAAGCAATCCCTGTTCGGAGACATATGGTATGAGGCTGCAGTATCCAGAAACCACACATCACCACGATGTGCATTCTCATCTACAGCCAAGGCGAGATCGTCTTCAGAACTGTTGTCCACTTCTGCCACGGCAACTGAACCTTGTTTCTTCTGTTGCCCTCTTCTCTTGGGACAGTTGTACTTCCAATGCCCCACTTCCTTACAGTTGTGACACGCATCACCTGGCTGTGGACCGGGACCCTTGGAATTCTTGCTCGAATTCCCTTTACCAGATTTCTTCTTTCCCTTTCCACCTGTAACAGCCAAACCCGATGCCTCACCACCTGTACCAGATCCGGACGCCTTATGTCTGATCTCTCTCGTATGAAGAGCAGACCTGACATCCTCCAACGACACGCTTTCTTTACCAGCAATAAAAGAATCAACAAAATTCTCATATGAACTCGGCAAAGAAACCAGCAGGATTAGGGCAGCATCCTCGTCATCAACTTGAACATCTATATTACGCAGATCCAGCAAAATAGAGTTAAGTTGTTCGAGATGTTCCCTCAAAGGCGTACCTTCTTGCATCCTCAAGCTGAACAACCGTTGCTTGAGATGCAGCTTGTTGGTTAGAGACTTAGTCATGTACAGACTCTCTAGTTTCAACCACAAGCCCGCGGCAGTCTTCTCAGCAGCGACTTCAATGATGACGTCATCAGACAACGATAGCATGATGGTCGAGTGGGCCTTCTCCTCCAGGGTATTCCACTCATCGTCATCGACCGCTGCCTTCTTCTGTTTCGCAGACAGCGGCCCCCACAGCCCTTGCTGTTTTAGTAAAGCCTGCATCTTGATCTGCCATATAGCGAAGCTGTTCTTCCCCGTGAACTTTTCGATCTTCATGTTCACCGACGTCATTCTTCTGAATCGAAAACCCTAGCCTGATTTCCAGCCGCGGCTCTGATACCACTTGTTATAAACGCGCTGCTACGGATCGGGAAACCGCCGGGATCGACAAAGCAAGAATACGAAAGCGAGAATCGAAAAACACAGACACACGATTTACGTGGTTCACTAACACGATGTGTGTTAGCTAGTCCACGGGCGAGAGAGAGCCGTTTCACTATACTGAGGAGATTACAGATTACAGAGGAGTATGAGAAGTATTTATAGTACTTCTCCATGTGGGTCTAAACCTAATCCAATCTAGCAAAGGAAACGGTTACAGACCAGGCCCAGAACCCGAACCCAAATAACATTGAGCCCATACACCCCCACCGGGGCGTTGCCCCTGGACCCCACTCGCTGACCGGGCAGCGAGACCCCCGATTACCAGTCGTAGCGGCTGATAATCCGATTCAAGTCATATCAACAGTTGGCAATATTGCAAGAAAAGAGAGATAAAAAGACACGCTAGGGGTGATAGGTGCATTTCACCACTGGTTCAAAACTCCTATACTAGACATTAGATTTCTGCAATTCCTGTCAAGCATATGCAAGGCAAATAGATGGGTTGGAAAACAAACCTGGACAGATTTTGACCTTCCAATTCATGGCTTTTGGAGCAAGAAAGGACGAGCCATATATGAAGCAAAGAGAAGAAAACAAGATAACTTTTGGTGAAAAAATAATTTGTGAATGAAAGGTGCAATGTAATCCTAGAGCTCTAATTTTGCTCTGCTGTAGATTTTGTAAAAGCAGCTTATAGCTGAAACTTCTAGATAAGTACTTTAAAAAAAAACAATTGAATGTTTGGCCGAAAACTATTAGAAGTGTTTTTTTTATAGAAAATGCTATGTAAAATGACTATAAAGGACTTATGATATATAAATAATAATTTTAAACAATAAAAAGTAGTTAAAATGGATCTTGTTAGATTTCTTTTATATTAGATAATATAATATAATTTTTTTTAAATGATATAAATGGAAGAAAATCATATTTCTGAAATAAAATTAAAATATGGTAAGGATAATCTTGTATTTTCAAAACAGAGCATCTGTTTTTTTTTATAAACAGAGCGCAGAGGGGCGCTCTAACCCTTAATCATTAACTAAACGAGTCATCTGGACTCCAACCCTATCAAAATACAACCAATATCACTGAGTAGGGTTCGGTACATCAGTAATATGAATGCCAACCGGCAGAGATAGGACTATAGAGGCCAAGTAATCAGCAACGAAGTTCTCACACGAAAGACGTGGATCATTTGAACTTCCCAATCCATTTGCAGCAATCTTCTCGCCTCTGGGACCAGGACGTGGTGCTGGTTGCGTGCTGTGGCGGACTGGATGAGGTTTAGTGTTGTGATAGAACACTACCAACTTGTGTACCCCTGCATTCCATGCCAAACGAAGTCCATGCACCAGGCCTGCAATCTCTGCATGAGTGATTGATCCACCACCCAGATTTGCGGCGAAGGCCTTTAGAAATCTTCCATCGCTTCCTCTTAGAACCCCCCAACCGTTGTTCCTCCCTGAGCACCTGTGACAGAGCCATCGGTGTTCAAGCATGCCCATCCATCTGACGGTTGCTGCCAGCTTAGCAACTGTTCTTTTGGCTGCATCATGCTCCTTCCCCCAGCACTCGCCGTGAAGTCTCCCTGGCAAGATCAACTTGCCTTCGAAGCTCTCGTATCTGCTGGACGAGATGGTCAGTGGATGCAAGTTTCTTCTCAAACACCCAGAGGTTCCTATTATGCCATAATTTCCAACAAAAGATAGCAAAGATGGAAGAGTCAATCATCTTACTACGATCAGTAAGGTAGTGAAGCATCCACCTCTCCACGTCATTACCGAAGAAAACATCATCTGGTTCGTTCATTAATATCTCCGACCAAGCTGCTCGAGCATATGGACAGTCCCTAATAACATGGATCGTTGTCTTCGAATCCCGCCGTAGATCAGACACGTATCATGTTGGGCTAAATGACGGCGGTGACACTCCCCATTAGTGAGGAAGCAGCCATGTAAAACCAGCCAGAGAAGTGTCTTCGTGCGCTGCAGACTTGGTGTGCACCAGGCAGCCGTCCACACCAGATGAGTGTCGCCACCATCTGTGCCTTCTGAAAGAAGCAGCTGGTAGGCAGATTTGATCGAAAAGTCCCCTGATGGAGTAAGCCGCCAGCTTGGCGCATCCATCTCACTACCCTGGGGTGTCGGATGCAGTAGGATCTGAGAAACAATCTCCTCGGGGAGGAAATCACGGAGATACTCCAGTTCCAGTAACCATTCAGAACAAGCTCAACAACAGAGAGGCTCAAAGCCTCTTCCGATAGGTTCTCTGCGAGTTGGGCAAGTGGCGGACCGTCCATGAGCCATCGATCCGTCCAGAAAGAAGCTTGCTGGCCACTTTTAATATTCCAAAGTAATCCTTGAGGTAGCAGATGCATCACTCGTATTACTCCACGCCACAAGTTTGACATCCTACCCGTCACCCTCGGTCTGCATCCTCCTTCAGATGCTCTTAAATATTTTGTCGTGATCGTTCTCGCCCATAGGCTATTTGGCTCTGTCAACAACCTCCAAGCTATTTTTAACATAAAGGCGTCATTCATTTTAGTGGCACTGCATAAACCGAGACCTCCCTCCTCCTTTGGGCAGCATAGGGCATCCCAACTCACCAAATGGATCTTTCTTCCCTGATCCGAGCTACCCCACACAAAATTCCAGATTTTCTTGTCAATGTAGTCGTGGAGCTTCTGCTTTTACGTTATACAAAAGCAATTTTTGGCTTTTTTAAAACTGAGATTTTAGAGGTGTTTGGCCCTACTTCCAACTTTTGAAAGCGAAAAACACTTCTAAAAGTCGGACCAAACATAGGCTACGGTTGTTTGGTAAGAAGGAAAATACAAGTGTGTCATTATTTGATGACACAAAAAATATGTTTCTAGAATCTCATTTCATGGCTTGTTTTACATGATTTATGTTATTTGTTGTCATATTAATTTGGATTTGCTGGGTAGTTGCTCAAAGATGTGTTTTGTAGTGTCTATGTATGTTTTAATACTTTGATGTCCTTTTGGTAGTGTTTTGTGTGTTTTCAGGCCAAAACACTGTAGTAGACCATTTTGTACGCGAGCTTAAGACATCAAGATCCAACTACTGTAAGTTCTAAATGGAGCTGGAACTAGGGGTGGGCAATGGGTGAGTTGAGTGGGTTTTCATTTCAAATTGACCCACACGTTTACTAGCGAGTTAGAATAAATGTGACCCGCAATCCACCCACATTCTTTGGCGGGTCGGGTTGGGTGGGTGACAGATGAGTGTGGTTGGGTCGTGGGTTAAACCACAAAAACAATTCTCCAACTAGCCATTAAGAAAGTTGACTAAAATGTATAATAAGTTCATAGTAAATTAGTAAGACTGTATCAATTTAAACACTTCTCATTTTTTCTCAAGTGAATCCATGTAGTATTTGTCGCAAACGGTCCGTCCGCGAAGTGGCTCGAAAAAGAGGAGTCACCACCAATCTCTCAAAGTGGATTGGACACTTGAAAAGCCAGGCTTAAATCGGTTAAAATTTAGGCTCGGCTCGGTCTGCGAAATAGATTTATGGGTTTGAGGGTCGGTTACGAGTAAGAAATGTATTAGCACCCTTACATTGCCCTAAGTCGGTACTATAAGTTTGATTTGTCTTTTTATTTTATATTTGTTCGTTTGAAATTATTTTGCTTTACTTCGAATATGTGATGTCATTTGTTAAATATATTACATGTTCATCAACATGTGATGACGTTGGGAACTTGGGATCGTGAATTAATATTTTTGGTAATTTTTAGGGAAAGGGAGTTTTATTTATTAGTGGACTTGGACCTGGGCCGCCTACATACTCGACATCTCGGGATCAAAGCCCTCGTAGTTCGCATATATTTTAATTATTTTAAAATGTTTGCTTACAACTCATCGGTACGTAATAGTTGCTTAATTTAACTACGATCCATCGATCGTAATTTCCTTGAGATTGATTAAAAACTTAATGATCACATACCCATTGGTACGTAATAGTTGCTTAGTTTGATAACGCTCCATCGATCGTGATTTGTTTGAGATAGACTAAATTATTAATCACGTACCCATTGATACGTATTAGTTTATTGATTTTGAACACGATCCATCGATCGTCATTTGTTTAAAATAGGTTAGGTGATAAATTGATCATGTACCCATCGGTAATGACTTAATCGTATAATTTGATAAAATAATATTTTAGCAGTTGTGTGGACTTGAACCTTTTTGGTCGCCTATATACCCGACATCTCGGGATCAAAGTCCGCGTACTTCGATTAACATCTTAATTCGGATTAATTAGATTAGAAAGTCATTTATGTTTGACAAAATATTGCTGATAGTTATTATCCTAAACCTATGAAATTATAGAAAGCATCCGTTCCTAACTTCAAATTTCCAATAAGGATTTTAAGGACTTTTATGGTTACAAAATTATAAACAGTAGTAAATGAAATGAAGATAAATTAATGAATCAATTAAATAAATGGATGGTTATTGTCGATGCCTTAGAGAATAGGGTGATGAAATTAGCAATTTTACTACAATAATCTGGTAATTCACTAGGGTTACATGGTTAGAATCGTAACTTTAAAAATTAAGAGAGAAGCAACCTTACCTCCTCTTATCCGAAACAAAGAGCGGCCGTCCCTCTCCTTGTTCTTCCTTTCTTCTTTCAACTTTACTTCTTCCTCTCTTCTCAGTCTCACGACGTGCAAGGGGAACGGTTGACGGCGCCCTGGATCGTCGACGGAGACGGGCGGTGCTGTGGCTGGCGGAGGATGCAGTGGGTACGTCAGCGATGATCGAGGATGGCGGTGATGATTGACGACGATGGAGATGTGAGGCTTGATGGTGGGAGGTGACTGGTGGTGATGGCGGTCTGGCGCGACGGTGGCGAGGAGCGGCGGAGGTCCCGAGTGAAGCAGGTCGCGGGATGCTAGGCGGTGGTTCGGCGACGGTGATGATGACGATGACGGCACGGTGGTGGCAGACGGCGACTGGTGAGTTTTTATTTTTCTAATTTGCAGAAGAGGTGTGGGAGTGATGTGATTCTGTTCAGTTTTTCATTCGGTGGAAGGGTGTTTGGAATTGGATTGCTGACTTTTTGTGTGTTGGCTGAAGAGAAGTGCAAGAATTGATTGTGTGGTTTGGGAGTGATAATCTGTAGAGGGATTTTTGGGGCCGCCCCCCCTATTCTTACCTTGTCTTCTCTTCTTATAGGTAAATCGAAGACCACACAATACACACATCTCTTCAACCACTTCACCCAACTACCATCTCTTTAATTAATTTTCTGTGTTTCTCTCCCTTTTGATTAATTTTTCTATTGCTAAATTACATGTATGGTCACTCAAATCATATAAATCTTTCACGTTTGTCATCCGAATTATTTTTCTTTCTTACTGACCACTAACTTTACGAATTCTTTCACCGTTAGTCACTGGTCGTCAGTCTCCATTAACTCCGTCAGTTTTTTATGATGTGGCAAACAGAATTGCTGACTAGACCGTTAACTTGATGACATGTCAATTCAAAAGAAAATTATAAAACAAATAATTTACCCTTCATTCTTACCGTTAGAGCCTCCAACTCCACCGTCGCCGTCCTCTCCAAGCCCCCTGCCCACTGTCAATCCATCCCCGATTTCTGTCTCCCGGAGTTCCCAGGCCATTCCTTCCTTCTCCAACCATTATACATACCGTTAATTTCTGAATGTTTCGGAAATTCCAAATAATCTAACCCTCACGATTGATCATGTTTGGCAAATTGAATTCTTAGGGATTTTATTTCCCATTATCAATCTTATCTCATCGGTGAAAGGGAGTTGACTACAAAATGAAACCCGCAACTAGTTTTTGAACCCAGAGCCCGACGGAGCGGGGCGAAGAAACTTGGTGCGGAAGGTTGGGGGCGAAGAGTCAGACTATTGATGCGGAATAACAGCGGCGACACCACCAAATCCATAGTCGGAATCGCGGTTGCGCTTGAGATCTTGCTTGGTTGCGCTTCTGCTTTCTTCTCGGTCTACCAGCTGTAGAATGTAACTTCTCTCTGTTTCATCCTTGCTCTCTAGTCTAGCCGTCGAGTGGAAGAGTTTTTTACGAGCTGGGAGAATTTTGGTCGAGCAACAGGAAGAAAGAAGTCGAGTATCAGAATCAAGGAAGAAGAAGAGTTGCCAGAGTTGCAGAGAAGGAAGAATTGCAGCAGACAAATCCGAGAGAGCTCAGGATTGAGTTGAAGTGAAGAGGAGAAACAAAGGAACCAAGACGGTGTCGTTTACTGAAGATGCTACCGTTTTACAAAGGAGGACTTATTGCTTTTATCACTACGTTGTCATTTTGCTTATTAGCTAGTTAGCCGTTAAGAAAGAACAGTTTAATTTTCTTAATGGCCTGTAGTCGCTAGACAAGTGGCGTATTACTGTAATTGTTATTGAACACTATATATATATGAAATGGTGAACTCAGAATACTCTGAGCTTCATCTTCCACAATTTCAGCTAAATTGATATGGTATCAGAGCGGAAGTTCTAGGGCACCTCAAACCCTAACGCCGCAGTCGCCACAATGGCGAACACTCCTCTGAACACACCACCCAGTGGTGCTGCCGCATCTACAGGAACGGCGTCTGGAGTGCAATTTGGGAGTTTCAATCAGCAAACACAACTACCAGAAACAATCGTCTTTGGTAACCCATTTTACCTCAACCCAAATGAGAATATGTGCCAGTCTTTGGTTTCTGAGTTGTTTGATGGCACAAATTATACAATGTGGAGTAGATCGATCCAGGTTGTTCTGAAAACCAAGCATAAGCTGGGTTTTATTGATGGAAGCATACCCATTCCACCACGCGGCTCAGATCGCTTCACCTTGTGGGATGCTTGTAATACCCTAGTTTTATGCTGGATTCAGAACTCTATGAACAAGGATTTTAAGAGAGCTATGTTAACCCATACAAATGCTAAAGCATTATGGGATGAACTGAAGAGGCGTTTTGGTCAGCCAAACGCTCTTAGAATCCTCAACATTGAGGATGTTTGCTGCTTGTAAACAGGGAACTAAGACCATCAACCAGTACTATATCCAAGTGAAGGGTCTTTGGGAAGAGTACCTTGAGTACAGCCCAGTAGTTCCTTGTCCCTGTGCACCAGGAAACCCACTTCCATGCCCTGCAGTAGCAGCTTTTATTTAGAAGCAAGAAACTGATTACTTGATCAAGTTTCTCAGAGGGCTGAACTCAGACTATGAAATGGTGAAAACCCAGCTGCTAATGCAGAAACCTTTGCCTACAGTCTCTACTGCACTTGATGACCTGCTGCAACATGAGCAGAAAATTAAGGGAGAAGGACAAGTGGAGCAGCGCGTTTCCACTCCTGATCAGCACAAGTGGGTCGCGAAGCTCCTGGGCTATGATTATGAGATCCATTACCGACCGGGCCCCTCCAACGTCGTGGCCGATGTGCTTTCGCGGCGGCCTGGGGGAGAGATACTGGAAGCAGTGACGGGACCGGTGCCTCAGTTTTGGGATGCGCTCTAAGCCTTGACGGAGACGGATGCCTATTTGCGGGGTTGTCGGGAGATAGCAGTTAGTGAAGCTCCGGGCCACTACTCGTTCCGGCAGGGGTTGGTGTTCTTTTGGGGCCGGCTCGTCCTTCCGCGGGGATCCTCCCTGGTGACGACCGTGCTTCAGGAGTATCACGACTCTCCTTTTGGAGGGCATTCCGGGGTGGAGAGGACACTGCGGCGGATCCGGGCGCAGTTTAATTGGCCCCAGATGGGCCAGGATGTGAAGGATTATGTAGCATCGTGCGACACCTCTCAGCGGGTCAAGGCGTCGCACCTTCGGCCGGCCGGTCTATTGCAGCCATTGCCGGTTCCCGAGCGGGTATGGGAGGACATCAGCATGGACTTCATTATTGGCCTGCCCCCGTCCGGCGGTAAGACGGTTCTGTTCGTCGTCGTGGACCGGCTGACGAAGTATGCTCATTTCATGGCCTTGGCGCACCCGTATACTACCCGGTCAGTCGCAGAGCAGTTCGTGATGGGGTCGTACGCCATCACGGGTTCCCGAGGTTGATTGTCAGTGGCCGGGATTCGGTCTTTTTGAGCAGGTTCTGGCAGGAGGTATTCGCCATGGCCCTGGACGACATTGCGGATGAGTTCCGCCTACCACCCCCAGAAAGATGGCCAGACGGAGGTGGTCAACCGATACTTGGAGCAGTACCTGCGCTGTTTTGCCCACCAGCAACCACGACGGTGGTTGGCCTTGTTGCCATGGGCCGAGCTATGGTATAACTCTACATATCATAGGGCAATCCAGACGACTCCGTTTGAAGCATTGTATGGTAGACCACCGCCTGCTCTGGTTCGATATCAGCAGGGCACCAGCCCGGTGGACGTGGTGGACCGTTGGCTCGAGACTAGGGATGAGGCCTTGGAGCAGCTCAAGGCCAATCTGGCGGCTGCCAATAATAAGATGAAGCAGATGGCGGATGCAGGCAGACGTGAGGAGGAGTTCGAGGTAGGTGACTGGGTTCTGCTTCGCCTTCATCCATACAGGCAGGCTTCCGTTTTTCGCCGGGCCTATCAGAAGCTGGCAGCTCGTTATTTCGGTCCCTATGAGGTGCTGCAGAAGATTAATCTGGTGGCCTATCGTTTGCAGTTGCCTGCGGATGCTCGTATCCATCCTACCTTTCATGTTTCACTGCTGAAACGTTACAGAGGGGCCGCGGATCGGGTTGAGACTACTGCTCCACCAGTTTCTGCGGATGGGGACCTTATATTGACCCCGGTACAGGTTTTGGATACCAGATGGGTTCGGAAGGGAGGGCGCATGATTGAGGAGAGCTTGGTTCTGTGGCAGCACATGTCGCGAGATGATGCTACTTGGGAGGAGACGGCCATGCTACGGCAGCGTTTCCCGACATTTGACCTTGAGGACAAGGTCATTTCTGATGGGGAAGGGGATGATAGAGACCCGCAGGTCGGGTAGGGGTCGGGTCGGGTTGGCCGCCTGGGCCGGGTAGTTGATGGCATTTTTGTTATTTTGTGTTAGTTTGCTGAAACACATAAAATAGGTTTATGCACATTCATTTGAAGTTAAGCAATAAGAATATCAAAATCCCTAAATTCCTCTTCTCTCTGTTCTTCCCCAATTCTATTTCCAATCCCTAATTCTACTTCCAATCCCTAATTCTTCTTCTCTATTCCCAATCCGATTCTTCTCTATCAGGCTTCCAAGCGCTCAGCTGGGAAGCATATGACTTTCGAGGATAGGAACTACACGGTTGAGGAGCTCACCGCCGATAGCTTTGACGGGGTCGACATCACCCTGTTCAGCGCTGGCGAATCAATTAACAAGCAGTTTGGGCCGGCGGCGGTGGAGAAGGGCGCCATTGTTGTGCAAGTGGTCTGAGGTTGCATTGTTTATTCCTTTTGGAACAATGAAAGTGGTCCGAGGTCGCATCGTCACATGGTGCATGAGCAAAAGTTATAATTTTAATAATTTATAAATTTTTTTAATCTTTTAATAGTAGAAATGAGGTGGGAATTATAAAAGATTAATTTTTATTATTTTATTAATTTTTTAAGTGCCCCATCACTCACTTAATGGTCAACTTGTAAAGTTGACTGCCACATAAACAAAAGTTAACAGAGTTGGACGGAGAGTGACCAAACGTGAACGGTTTCAATAAATTGAAGTACCACCAATGGATTTAAATATTTTAAGTGACCAAACTTGAACGTTTTTTGTAATCTCAATTACCAACCATGCAATTAACCCAAATGTTTTACTACTCTATCAACCAATTATGTAGAGAAAACTTACGCATTTTGTGATTTTGATAAAATTAATAATTTAAAGTTTTCATCCAATGTTTAATGGATATTAACAATAATTTGTATTTCAATCTCCAATATCTAATGGATATTACATATAAGTGCGAGGTGAGATTTATCAATCTGCAATCCACCCGCATCAATCACCCACTGCTTGTGATTTGGATTATTTGCGAGTGAATCGATATCAATCTGCGGATTAACCACCCACGTACCTATCCCTAGCTGAAACCCAAGCCCGGAAATGACGGCCCAAATTGTCAACCATAAACCAAAATGGTGCCAAAGGCGCCATTTTTAGGAAGGTCAAGATCAACTCGGATTTACTTTGATATTCCTTCCTTGGAGGCTAAGTTGAAAATATTTTGGAGATATGCGAGCAAAAGAATTTCCTCCTTACAAGATCTCTCAGAAAACCTTATGAAAATGACTATAAATAGACCCCCTTGAGCACCAATTAAACACATATCTTCATTCAAGTTGACGGTCACACTAATTAAGCCAAACTTTTCTAATTATTTTAAAAAATTGGCTCAAAGTATTATTATTATTATTATTATTAGGCCAAACCAAGCTATTTTTTTTTTACTATGGTAAAAGTGACAATCACAAACTTTTTTGGTCATTTGAAGTTAAGAAGTGAAAAAAGGATGAGCATAGTTGCCAAGAATGAGAATGTTGAGAAGAGTTAGGGTTGTCCATGGTTGTCACGCCGGTCAGTGTGTCACTGGTTGAACCTGTATTGGTCATAAACCGGTATAACACCACTGGTATGACCGGCATGATCGATATACGAATCTCCAAGTAAAATGATCTTATCTTAGTGAATTTAATTGATAAAAAGTAATTTATTATTTATTTTATGTGTTAAAAAGTTAAATGTAGATGTTATTTGTTCGATTCAAATACAAATATTTAGATATTGACGTTAAATGTCGTGTTTAAATATGAGTATTTGTAAATTATTTGTAATATTAACCAGCATGAACCTGCACAAACCGGTATGTACCACCGGTCGAACCATTTCACTTGCTAAACCGGCACACTGGCCCAAACCGGTTTGACAACCTTGGGGTTGTCCATTTCCATTCATGGGTGTCATACATTACATAGGAGTGGAGGATGAAAAAGGAGGAATGCTTTCCAACCAGCACATTGCACATTATTGAACACGACACGACAGTAGCACTTTTTCCCCAATCAATCCCACCGCTGATGGTGCCAGAAAGCATCCACATTTTCAACAGTTGAGAATCAATGGTAGAAAACGATGTTAATTAACTCACTAACATAACATAAACAGTCGGCCGTCACCACTCTTTTGGATTGTTTGGGTTGGGTTGGGTTATTGCTCTTACGAATTTGAAGAGGAGAGATGTACGTAGTGTCTGTAATCTCACCCGCGTAGGTCAATGACAGCTACAATTGCAATCCACAAACAAAGAGAAATCAACGAGGAACCGCCACAAAGGCCAAAGACAACACCTATTCTGTCTACTCACCTCATCAATGTCTAAATGTGTCTATGGACTAAGGGGACTGCCTGCCACACTTACACTTGCCTTCCTATTGTTGCATTTTTTCTTATATCATCAGAGAGTATTTCTATCATTCTGAATGATAGACTTAAAAGAGAATGATTCAACAACTTTGGAACCCATCAATTAAAGAAAACACTTAAATCCACATCCACTCTTCAACACTACTTGTTGCAATTAGAATCGACATCACTGGAGATTTTGATTGTAACAAGAAAAGTTCTAAATGAACTTCTATTAGATTTCATATTTTTTTATATATCATACTAGTAATAGCATAATTTTCTTATTTAACTTATTTTTATGAATATTGATTTATAGAATTAAAAATACATGAATTTTGTTTAGGTTGGTTCTGAAAAATTGTATATATATTAAATTTGTTTACATTTAAGAAATTATTAATTTATAAAATTTTATGGTATGTGACGAAAATAGACCTCGCAATCGGGTCGGGTTGGGTAAGTTCGGGTTGGGGACTTCGGTTACGGGTCGGGTCATGTTTGGTTGGCTGATTTCGGGTCAAATATTGACCCAACCCATTCGATTTCGGTTCGGGTTACAGGTCATTTCGGGTTCGAGCGTTCTCAGAAACAATATCAAACATGCTTCATATTTTCTTAAAGAACACAAATTTTCACATATGCGTGACAATATTCTCAAATCCACCCACGCTAATGAAATGAAATATAAATTGCGCAAATCTTCAAAAAACAATCACAAGAGTAATACTACTACAAGAAACACATGATATTTGATTATCATTAAACTCCAAACGTGTCATTCAAATCCTTGTAATTTTTTTGAACATCTCACCAATTTATGAGTGATTTTATCATATTTTGGGAGTGATATATGAAATGGAACGGGTCTAACGGGTCGACCCGCTAACCCACCCAACCCGACCCAAAAAATCACGGGTTATCGGGTTTGGATCATCCAGATTTCAGGTTACAAAAATTTCTAATTTTCGAGCGATTTCGAGTCGGGTCAATGGGTCGGGTTATAATTTGCCGGGTCTAGACGAAAACACTACTTTTTAATATTAAATTGTATAAATTACTCGCAAAAGTTCACCGACCTGACCTCTCAATCAATGGAATAGAATGAGAAGTAGTATATAAGTATAACTTTAGTTTTCTACGAGTTCCAATATACGTATTCTCAACCCCTGGAAACTACTTTTTTCCAACAATGCGTTGAAAAAAGGAAGGGATTGGTGGTGGTTGGGTTTAGACTTTAGAAAATCATCGCATTTCACATGCTGTGCTCCCTTCCCTTTTGTTTTGTGCTCTAGAGGAAGAGGAAGAGGACCACCGTCCCTCCCGTTTGTCGTATCCCCATCATTTTGTTGTCACTATTTGTATTTCCCCTTCTTCACCTTCCCCACCATCTTGTCTCCCTCTTTAACCAAACACTCTCTTTTTCTTCCCCACCATCTTATATTGTTTCATCAACTTGTCTATAAAGTCACCCAAGATATTTTTAGCTCATAGAGCATTCATTGCATTTGTGGATGTTTTTTTCATAGTAAGACATTGATTTTACTATTGTGCTCACGGTATGTGGTTGAGGCTGAGGTTGTACAATTGTGAAGTGTGCAACTTGCGATTCAATTACTGGATGCTTTGTGAGCATGTTTCATGGAACTCTTGCAAGTATGTTACCACATATGTTCTGTGAACACTATAGTCGAGTTGTTAAGACCTCACCTAGCATTAAGTTGAAAATCCATGTGGGCAAACGGGTTGGGTTTGTGGCAACAATTTTTTTCCCCCTTTCTCTTTTTGGCTAACAAGAGCTCACGTAACATTGCGTTTGATATTATTCCGAGTCGACAAGTATGTTCCAAACTCATTGGAGCATACCGGTTGTTTAGAGTCCTATGGTTGGCCATCAATAAATTTTTCTTTGAATGATCAACTGTAGTCCCACTCGACGATATTAATCAAAACAACATTGTGTTCAGGGATGTTGCAATCCCATGGCCACGAGTCCCAGTTAACAAGCTCATGAAAGCAAACGAGTTGAGTTACAAATATGCTAGTGGACATTGATAAATTTCTTTTTGAATAATAGTAGGGTTTACTCTCAAATACTATATCAAGACTTTCAAGAGAGGTCCTACACTACACCTACATTCTAGTTTTTTTAAGTTTTACCCTACTTTCTTCAATCACACTATGGTCAAAAGTGAACTCATTTTCACTAATTGAGCTAGGCATATCACATATGGAATATGTACATTGTGATAGCAATTGAAGCATGGAGGAGCAGATTGGTAAAGGATTTGATGCCATCAAGCTAAGCCAGCTAGACACAGCTTTTTGTGGGGGCACTGCCCATAATCCTAAAAAAGTGATCAAGTATCTAACCATCCACCATCAAGTTCACTTTTAGCCTATATGCAATTATCTTAAGCTGAAGTAATTAAGTAACAAAAGTTAAGACCTCGACCCATTCTGTATCCTGGATTAAGGGGTATCGATGATGCAGAAATTTGAATATACAAATACAACCAAAGAAAGCTTTAAAGCCCCAATAATGGTGAACAAAGCAAAGAAGAAGACGAAGAGAGAGAGAACATCAAACGAAAGCCCCATCCACCACAGAATAATAGTAGAAAACTATCTTTGGCCCTCAACCCTAGATTTCCTTCCCCTTTATATCTTCACAAATCCATTAGAACCACTGCAGCACAACAACCCCAAACAAGGCAAGAAAATGCAGAACCTCCATGGCTTACTCTGTTTCTTCCTCGTGTCTGCAATGGCATTTCCATGGAGGAGCCAAGCCCAAGAAGCCGCCGACCTAGGATTCAGGCAAGCCAAGAATTACGAGGGTTCCTCCGACCTTGTAAATGTGCAGTATCACATGGGTCCTGTGTTGGCATCCCCTGTTGTCAATCTCTACATCATCTGGTACGGCCAATGGAGCCGAACCCAGCAAGCCACCGTCAGAGATTTCGTCCACTCCATCTCCGTTCCGTCTCTTCCGCACCCTTCCGTCTCTGACTGGTGGCAGACGGTGCGCCTCTACGCCGACCAGACGGGATCTAACATCACCGGGAAAATCAACCTCGCCGGCGAATTCCACGACGCCGGCTACTCCCACGGCAGGGTCCTGGCCCGCACGACGATGCAATCCATCATCAAGTCCGCCGCCGGCAGGGGGATGCCGCTCGACCCTCGGGACGGGGCCTACCTCGTGCTCACGTCCGGTGACGTTTCGGTTCAGGAATTTTGTCGAGCAGTTTGTGGGTTCCATTACTTCACTTTCCCGACCGTCGTCGGCGCCATCGTGCCGTACGCTTGGGTCGGTTACAGCGGGACCCAGTGCCCCGGGATGTGCGCTTACCCGTTCGCCTGGCCCACTTACTCCGGGAAGCCGCCGCCGGGCGGGTCGAGCGGAGGAGGGAACAACCTAATGAAGCCCCCCAATGGGGATGCTGGAATGGACGGGATGATCAGCGTCATTGCTCACGAGCTGGCGGAAATGTCGAGCAACCCGCTCGTCAACGCCTGGTATGCTGGGGATGACCCTATGAATCCGACGGAGATCGCGGACTTGTGCCTGGGAATCTACGGTACCGGCGCCGGAGGAGGGTACGTTGGGCAAGTGATGAAGGACACCTGGGGAGATGGGTACAATGTGAATGGGGTGAAGGGGAGGAAGTTCTTGGTGCAGTGGGTTTGGAACCCTTCCAGGAGAAGGTGCTTTGGCCCAAATGCCATGGATTAGGAAGCTCCATCAATGGCGGTCATGATGATCTCAATGGTTGCTGTGAATGATGTTTGCTTCTTTTCCTCTTAGTAGTGTAGACAGATATGCTTTCCAAGTAGAAATGGCAGAGTGATGCTGTTATAGGCATGACATTCCTGTTAGAAGAACAAGATGGAGAAGAGGAAGAAGAAGAAGAAGCATTGAGGGTTTGGTCAACGGAAGCTTCATATTCATGAATGTTGTAGAGAAACCTGAAATTCTCAACAGAGTTCTATTCTATTGTATAACAAGCCCACCTTCCTTCTTACTACAGCATTCCAAGGCTCTATCTCATCATCATTTTATACAACAGAAAAAATATCATTTGTTTCAAGATCCTTGAAGAAAAAGAAAAAATAGAGGTTCTGCTAACAATTTGAAGCTAAGGGGCAAAAATTATACAAGCCACCCTCCCAGCAACTTCCCAGTCTTTTCAAAGCATGAAAATGACCCCTTTGCGCTTCGATCGATCTGTTTGGGGAAGTAAGATGCTGTAGTTCTTGTCTGTGTTCTTTGGTCAGTTTGGATTTGGGAAATTCATATCACAACACATCAGAGCAGCGTATGCAAGGGTGGTTGATAAGCCGAGCTGCAAGGCTGTCGGATTCTGGAATGAGAGTAGAAGTCACGCTGTTCCAGAAATGCATAGTTAACGACTGTCTCGTGATCCTTGTGAAAAGAGCATCTTGTTCAGCTCTCTCGTTTTCGGACGCAGGAGTTGCAAAGTAGCTGTTTCGGAAGTTGAAAAAGAATGCATCAGCCATCAGCAGTGAATGAAACTGCGGGATACAAACTGATTTATTGGAAGGTACACGATGCTGTGTAAACTGTTGATGGACTATAGTTCTCAGGCCATCAAAGCCATAGTTCCCTCAACATGTAACTTCCAGCAATCGCATATCCCAGTTCAGGTAGCTTCTAAGCTAAAGAGATGAGCAAAGAAAATAGCCAATTCAGAGAGGGGCAGTCTAGAAGTATTACCTTGTAATATCCTGTGAACTGATAGGAAAGAATACGTAAGAGGGCTGCACATTCAGTTCCTGCTGGCTAATGGGTGAATTCTGTTTCACGGAATTCCTCCAGACTCTAGTCAAAAGTTCAGCTCCATTCCATCTCAATTTGGTGTCATCGTATGTCATATAAAACTCCTTCAAACACTCCTCCAAGAATCGACTGCAATGAGAGAATGACCTTGAAACTCAGAAACAGGCTCAAACACAAGCATAGGGCACATGGCCCCAGTGCAGACAATTACCAAAATACCTGTTCTGTCTAAATGCCATCACAGCCCCATTCAGAGAACTTCCGGTACGCTCATCTTCCATGCCGATGGTGTCATTGAGTGAATGCAACGGATTCATAACTACAATGTCAGAGTCAAGATAGATGCCTCCGTATCTGCATTGTCCATAATGACATAATGTAGAGTGTATGCGGGTTCAACTTCAAAACTAGCTTTCGCTCAGAGTTCAAATATAGTGATGGGTGAAGAGCACCACTCAAATAAATTCAATGGAGCCCAGAATCATATAGATTACACAGTAAGAAAGAACATCAATTGGTTCACAGGCATGCCGAAGAAAGCTTTACCTATACAGCACTGCCAGTCTCACAAGCTCACTGTAATGAGTGGGATAGAACTTAGTCTTCCTCCAATCGGACCAAACCGAAGCAAATATATAGGTTGGTGTGTCCTTGAGCAATTCATCAAGATTTGGCATAGCAACAGCAATCTTGTATCTGCAGAGAGCAACATAACAACGAGGTTAGATAACAAATCTCTACATTACATATCAACCTTTGTTCCATCAACAAAGGCTTTGCTTTTATCACTCACCCATCTTTCACAAAGCTGTTTTTGAAGAAGTCCAGCTCAATTGTCTCAGATAACACCAAAACACAAGCATCCCTATGGTGAGAGAGAAGACTCTCCAGTCCCCTCTGGTGTCTAACACTGTACATCCAAGGCGGGGAGTTCCAAACCATAAACACTCTCAACTCACACTTGCCCTTTCTGAAAAAGGAATCCACAAATTCAGAAAACGATAAGTGAGGATGTAAACCAGGGTAATAACCCCATCGCTTCCCATCTGCAAACAGGTGATTCAATTCTTCAGATACTCTACTTTGAACTCTATCCTCCGTTTTTCTAATCTCACTGCCACCTTCACTCCCATCGGACGATTTTCCAGATGCATTAGAATGTCTCTCCACTCTCTCATTTTCCAATTTCACAGAAGATGATCCATTCTTCAAACTGATATCCTCCTTCACATCACTTCTTCCATCCCTGTTAATCAAATTATCGACTTCTTTCCTATCAACATTGTCAATGATTTTCCCATTCAAATCGCCACTTCCATCATCGTCGAGAGCCCTTCTTTCTGGTCGCTTGCCATCAGTCCTGCCTTTGAAGTCATTCTTGGTCTCCATTTTCTCCTCAGTAGTTCCTTCCGAGACACTCAAAGGCTTCTTCGAGAGAAATGGAGACCGTTTGTACTGATGCAACAGAAGCTTCATCAATGCCTTGTCCCCTCGCGTCAACCCAGTAATCCCAATCCCATCAGGATCCTGCAAAAGTGGATTGTGCAAAGGATTCAAAACCTCCAAGTTGGATTTGAACATCCTGTCCCTCCTCAAGAAATCCCCCTTCTTCTCGAACCAATTACCCCAACCTTCCCTCAAAGGCGAAACCCTCTTCCCAATCTTCAACAGCAGCGCATCTTCAATCCCCCGAACCTCCGTCACTTTCCTCCTCACCTCCTCGTCGATCGGGACATCGTCGCTCCCAATCGCCGCCTTGCTCTCATCCTCAGCACCCAGCGCTGCCGCGAAGGCGCCGTAGTCGCCGTCCCACTCGTCGATCGAGCGTCGGTGGAAAGCCCGGCGAATGGATCCAGTAACGTGGTCGACGTAATATCCCGATGTGGAAATGGTGGGCTTGATTCGAGATTGGGCTTGCTCGCCGTCCTGTTCGTCTTCGTTGACGGCGGCCGCGGTGTCGGTCTGGTCCTCCAGGTTGTCGAACTCGTCGATCTTGTCCGGGGCATCGTCTCCCGGATTGCTGTTGTTGTCGTCGCTGGAGTCGGAAATCAGGGGGTTCGCGCGGATAATGGAGGCGGAATCGGCGTCGCTGCGGCGGCGAGGGGAGGAGATTCGGGGGTAGAGACGGTGGCGGTGTCGGCCGATTGGGGGCGAAGAGGAAGAGAGGCGGGAGTAGAGGAGAGAAACGGAGAGGAGGAGAAGGAGAGCGGAGGCTAGGGCGCAGATTTGGGCGCCGTAGCGGGGCCGCCGTCGAGAGCGAAGATTCCGCAGCATTGTTTTGCCGTTTTACGGACGAACGGAGTGACTGAACATTGACAGGTGATTGGAAGGAAGTGAGATCGCAGCTTTCAAGTTTGGGTAGAAACTTGCCGCCGGTTAACTCTCTGGCTCTCAAATTTTTCAGGAAAAGAAAATTTTGTATTTAAATCGGTCGAATAAAGTACGGAGTATACGTATAATAATTAATAAATTTCTTTTTTCATCGCCTGTCCGAACTCCGAAGTGATTTTTTTTTCACTTTAATGATCTTTTATTTAAGAATGTTTTAACTCATATTTAAATTTAAATGATGACTTTACCCAAAAAAAAAAATGAAATGACAATACAAATAATATTTCATAAAAATGTAATTCTTTTTTATGAAAATGAACTCCGGAGGATACTCTATTACACATAAACTAATAAGATAATTTACCGCCTAAAGAATGAATAACATGTAAATCTAAAGATGTCACCTATTTTTTATAAGCAAGTAAAGCAACAACAAAGTTCTCCTCTTGAAAAAAAAAATGGACGAGGATTACAATTCAGTCCAACAATAGTATAGATGTAGCTTGGATATAAGTGGTTGAAAATGTTGAATCAAGTGAAGCGATATAGTAAAGGCTGTATGTGAATGTGAAACCATGTTCTTGACCCCTCAATTACCATATAAAACTGAGATCGTGTAGGATTCACATCAGCTCAACTCTAGTGATGATTACACATCCAAGATGGACCCTAAATGCCTTGATGAATTGGGCATCCTCCCATCTTACTACGACGCCTACAAAGGTTGAATCTGGAAAGTGATAGACATAGTCATCGGTGTAAACACTAACCCACTCCATGGGTGGAGCCTCCAAGTAGATCCAATATTGTTCTCTCTGTCTATTAAGCCCCTTAGGCCTTATCCTATGTTCTTGCTCATCAGCTACATGAATCTAGTGACACAAAATGCTAATCAAATGACAAATTTTCACCGAGCTCAAGTCACTTAGAGTTAACTTAGAGTAGCTTGAAGTTGGTAACACTAGCTTGAAGTAGATGAAAGTGGTTAAGTGGTGTGGCATAAGCAAATTCAAAATTCAAATTACGGAGAATACTTGCATAATTCAAATACCAATAGATTCCTTCAAGTAGATAAGTTAGTTATTTCTTGCGTAGGATGAATACTTGTAACTTTGGCAAGAAGTAAGAATGTAGACTTTACAAGTGAACAACTCGTTACTTTCTTGGTTGTTAGTTTTGCACTCGAGAAGTCTATAAAAGCCACTCACATGTGTGAAAATTTTAGACATACCTCTCACAATGTTTTGCCTTCTATCCTTGATAAATGAGAGTTCAAGTCTTCAAGAACATTTACCCAAGTCTTAGTTTCGTGCATCATGAAGGCAAGGGATAGGGCAAGAGAATACAAATAAGAAGGAGCTAGATAAATGGTGAACAAGTTCAAGGTTTTTGCTTTCATCAAGTTTTATTCCTTTGTGACTTTTGCACATTAATTTGCTGGCATCTTCCTCTCCTTCAAGATGTGAACTTTCACATTAAGGTATGTTATTCTAAACTTGTTAAACTTTAAACATAGAAGGACATGTTCCCTAGTGAAGAGTGGAGAAAATCCAACATCGCATGGGTTGTGACCAGCGAATATTATGTTACATATGGAAGCAAATAGAGTGGGTTTACGAGGAAGACAAGCTGTACGAGACCATCAACGCTCCAAAATGGGTTGATTACGTCGGTGATGTCGCCTGGTTCTGCAGACCTGGTGCGTGAGTGTTTATCTTATGGCTTGCAATTCCTGAATCTCACAAACTTTCCATCTTTATTCTTACTGGGGTTTGGTGTTTTTGCTTACTTCTCGCCTTTCTCTAGATTGTAATCATCCCAAGTCAGCTAAAAATTTCTTGAAATTCACTCCATGTTCCCTATGTCACTTTCATTCGAGTAACTAAAAAGAAACTAGAAGTTATTTTAGAGTAAAAAATGAAACCATAAATATTATGTTAGTGCATGTCAAAACCACAAGTTGGTTAGTGTTTTCCCCCCTCTTCTTCTTGTTTTAGCATAAGCATAAACATGTATTTGAAGATATGAAGCAACCCAAGATGACACCATTACACCAACAATCATATATATCCGTCATGTTGCTTCTATTGGCCTAATCAAGAGCCAAGAACATGGACAAATGTGAGAAAATCATGAACTAGATGCAACGATCCAAGATAGAACCAAACACTTCTGTGTTAAACAATATGCTAAACCTCTTAGGTAAGTAGAACCTGTTCGAGAATATGAAACAAATTAATGATAAAAGGATCATATAGCATCTAACGCTGCCTGGTTTCGATTGCATCGATAGACTAGTATACCAAATCAAGCTAATAGTAAAGTGATAGCAAGGTCAACATCCACAGGTTTTAGAAGTGTTAGTACTCCATCCAATTTAGGTTATTTTCGATTGAACTACCAACTAATAACTACAACTTACCAACTAAATAATGTAAGCATAAACAAGCCAAATTAAAAATGAGTTTTCTGAAAGATGAACAAGTTGTTAGGCTTTGAATCCCTCTATAGTTGAGTCAAAAGGCCATTGATATGGAAATTTATTTATAAAGCTAATTTGTTATAGGGTTAGAATCCCTTAGCTAAAAATCACTTTTCAAGTAAATAATTGTTTTTGTTTATTTAAGTATATAGTTGTTTTAATTGGGTAGTTTAGCTCATTTTCATGCACCTTAAATTAGCTAGTTAATTGTTTCTCCAAGATCCCTTCAATTATATTGTTTCTAGGATGGATTTTGGACTCTTGTGTGAGGTTTCTTCCCTTCTTCTCCTTCCATTTAACTTTCTATCTCTAAGAAGTCTTTTTGCTTTGTTTTCTTTCCCAAATCGAACTCCTTTGCAAAAAATGGCTTTTCCTCTCTTAAAACACTTTATGGCATGTTCCCATGAATGCAAACAATGGAGTTCGAATTAAGTGAATCACATTCGGTGAATTCACCATTCATGACCATGAACGAGGTTGTGAATTGGACTGTAGCTGAGGTTGTGATGGGCACAAATGAAGCTCCAATTGTCTCTAAACTCTAAACTGACACTGATTGATCCTCATGAAATATCAACCAAGAAGTACAACCCATCATGAATCATGGTAAACAAAGAGGTTCACCTAGGGGAGACCAAACAAAATGTCTCAAATGTAAGGAGATAACATGTATAGAAATGTGATATATCATCGATAATCATAAGGGACCTTACTTGACTTCTAACATTAAGACTTACAACATCTATCATCGTCAACTAATATGGGAGGGTAAGGTTATGGGAGAGGATGGAAGACGTATGAGGGTTTCTACCTAAGTTGGATTGAACTTATGTGTGGTGACTTAAACATCAGAATCGAGTGCTTGCTTGAGGAAGAATCCTTAGAGATGGTTGAATGTGGATGTTGCTTCAGTCGTGAGATAGCTAAAGTTATGATGTCATCTTGTTATAGAAAGGATCAAGTTGAGTATACCGTTGCGCTTAGGACCATGAGCAACATTATCTCTATACTGCCAACCTCTATGAGACTGGGTCATGGGCTCTCAGCATAATAAGGCTATTATAAGCACAGGCTCTTCAACTAGAAATACACTGTGCAAAATGACTGATCATCGCCTTTATGGAGTTATTACGTGGTCACCGGGCCGTGCCGCCCATGGGCTAGCACGACACGGTTAGAGCACGACACGAGCACGGGCACGAAATAAATGGGCCAGCACGGCACAAGGACGAATAATTTATGGGCCGTGCCAGGTCTAAACTTCATGGACACGGACACGAGCATGAGCACGGCATGGTATATAAGTGGGTCGTGTCGGGCCTAATATTTTCGAGACTTTATTGAGTATAAGAACGTATATGGCACGAAATTAATATTTATTTGATAGAAAATAAATATAAAAAGAATTATAGGTTCAAATATTACAAAACACAAGTAGAAAAATAATTATTTGTTGTTGTTAGAAGTGTCATAAAGATATATACGTAATTACTAACATAAGTAAAAATGGACAAAGAATTAAACAAAGCCAAATCACACTCGCTATACTTCTAATTTTATTTTCCCCATTATTTGTTACTTTTTTCAAACATTATCGGTTAATACTATCTTCCACCACCCAATTTTCACCTTCTTTTTCATTCTCTCTTTTGTTTTCGTCCTTTTCATTAAACACGAATACGAGCACGAATAGGCACGACACGATTCAAACTGTGCCCGGGCCTAGGCCGGGCCTAGCAAAGTTAACAAATGGGCTTGGATGGCACGACACGAAAAATTGACGGGCCGTGCCAAGCATGACACAAAATAAATGGGCCCGAAGCGTGCCTGTGCCGTGCCGGCCAAGCACGGCCCAACGCCCATGTACACTGAATACCCAAAAGTGGTTATTTGTCAAGAACTGCATGGGTTGAAGATGGATGTGATAAGAGTTAGGGTATGCCTACTATGACATGCATGTCATGGTGACATGCACTTTTCGGTCGACCTATTCGTCAAGGCGGTCGACCGAATTGACTAATTTGGGCAGCACGAGAAAGCATTGCGGTCGACCGCCACGACCACCTGGTCGACCGCACTTAGTTTAAGTTGTTATTTTCGGTCGACCAGAATAAAACCTCGGTCGGCCATTTCGTTGGCGTCAGATACAACATGGTTGACCACCTAATATATCTGGTCGAGCACTTGATGGCAGTCATTAACAAAATGGTCGACCGGATAAGGAAAGAGGTCGACCAGATAGAAGATCAGTGTTCTATCAAAGTGTCCAATCATTTGACGTAAAATGAAGATGAAGTGTTGGTTTCTCGGTCGACCTAATCCGGTACGAGGTCGACCGAATACAAGAAAGTTAACCTATGCCCCGTGTCTTTTTTGCTTATGTATGTCGATTTGTGTGGTTCTTTTAATCGTATAAATTATGTTTCAAACCATCATAATTAGTAATTAATAATTATAACAAGGACTCGTCAATTCATAGCATAACAACTAAAAATAAAACAGAAATCATAATTGTTCACACATAAAAATAAAACAAAAAAAACAACAGGATAATAATCAACAATCGTTTTGAAAACTAAAACACACAATATAAAATCTCCTCTCTCCTACTCATCTCCC